GCCCTGCAACCTCTATTAATCAAAACATTTCTCCACATTATAACTATTAATACTGGAAAATAATAATGACAGTGGATAATAATTGTAGCACCACCACTCATAGAATTGGTAGTAGTTTTGGAGTACTAGATATATGCATGAGCCCTTTTATATGCATGAGCCCTTTTGGTCTCACAATATCGCTATGAATTAGCAATTCTTATTAGGCTTATATAACAGATGAGGAAATCAAGACTTAATGATATTTGTTTTCCCAAGACCTGTCACAAAGAACTGGTGAGCCAGCTTTTGAATGCAGCCAAACTCCAGAGCTTTGTAAATGTTTAATGCAGTATTTAAAACATAGTCAGTTTTCCAGTTCTGTGCTGCCTGATGGAGCAGAGGAATTAAAAGATGACCCAGGCATGAACGAAGGCTCAATGCCTGAGCCCACTGCCACATGCAGAGAAGAAGGGGCAGAGGGATGACAATTTAATATGAAGGGAGACAAGAAGGTGAGTACAGCCAGAGTGAACAGGTCTGGAGAGGTGTGGTGGCTGGAGGAGAAGGAGCCCAGTCTCCATGGAGACAGGATGAGGAGCACCATGACCTTCCTGGAAAAGCTTGAGAGGATTCTGGAGCCATCCAGCAGCCACTGTGAGTAAATCCCTTGGAGTAGTGCCAGTGTGAGTGGCTGCAGTACGGGCAGCTCTGCCCATGCCCCAAGTCCTCCCCATACTATTACCAGAGTTATTAGGCTCAAACCTGAAAGAGTCTAAATGGAGTTACCCTATAACAGGGCAACAATGCCCCTACTAGACACTACAGGCTAACAAATAAAAAGCCTAGTGCCAGGAATGGGTTACCTTTTTGGAGCTGTTGGCCAGCGGAGCTCCCATAGATACCCAGACATTACAGGTTATTTTCATTGCTCTCGGCTACTTTCCAGAACTTGACAGTAAGACCCTATTGCTGAAAACAACACATACTTGAGTCATGGAACATGAAGAATTCAAGTGGGTACTGACCTCACAGCTTCATTCTACTGACTAGTGCTGGAAGGTGCTATGTAGGCTACTGAAGAAGAAAAGAAATCATCCATCTTTTCCTGTGAACCTGTGAACTAAAATAAAGATCTGCCTGACAAGATACGTCCACTGGTGCGATAATGGCATAATGTTATGGGAGTAACCAGCCACTTTCTGAATGGATGTAAGACCTGCTTCACAAGATGGAACCCATACCTGGCACCACTACAGCCAAGAACCTGCAACTAATCAGGCCCTAGGCCCTAGGAGAGAAACTCCTATTATTATTCTACTAAATGAACATAGTATTAAACCAACTCCTAATGACTTATCATTATACCCATAGATTAGAGCACTCAGCTCTCATCAGAGAAGCTTCTTTTTGCAGTGGATGACGATTAACACAGAGACCTACAACTGGCCAAGTTGCAAATAATAGACTATAGAATGTTCAGCCCTAAATGAGATATCTGTATCACACCCCTTCCTCCCAAGGCTTAGGGATCATCATGGAAGAGGGGGCAGAAAGATTTAAGAACCAGACACAGTGGATGACTGACTATAACAAAACAGTGTTTTCTGTACACAACAGAGGAGATATGCATATAAACACACAGCAGTTGTGACAGCACACACAAGATCTGCACAAGCTCAAGCCAGACAAAATCCCAGCATGGAGAGGGGAGGTGGGCACAAAGTCCCACCCCTAGCTGAGGAGCTATTGGCAATTGATAGCTGTTGGGAAAGGAAGAGTCCATTTTCTTTAAAGGTGTGGCCCCTGATAAGCCAACCATGCTCCAGTGGACGGCACCACTCTCAAGAGTATATATGGAAGAGAAATTAAACTTGATGTATTTTAATAATGAAAAAAAATGAGAACACAAAGTTGGGTGGATAGGGAGGGGGTAGATTCTTGGAGGAGTTGGAGGAGGGGGTAAATAGAATCGAAATCTATGTGTGGTTCTGCCCAGCATAATTATCTCCATTCTGGTCTTTGCTACAAGTTGTCAGAACTTGCGAAATTTCTTTCATCACTGATTGGCACCAAGATTCAGCCTTTTCCTTCTCCCAGTATGCAACTCCTGGAGAAATTCCAACTCCTTGGAATTCATCGTTCCAACAGTCTGATAGCCAAAGGGAGGGGCACAAGTATCTCTCGAAGATCTTCATTCCTGCCAGGACAGTTATAATACTGGGAGCAGAGACAAAGAATTCACATCTGTCCTCCCCAGGACCTACCATGGGCAGGAAGCACTCTGAGAAGACTGATCTAAGGTGACTAAATGAACAGGAGAGAGGGAGTGAACATGTCACAGGGGGTAACTGGTTTTCAAGACCCCTCCCTGCTGCAGGGAGCTGTTTCTTTTTATTTTTTATTTTATTATTTTTATTTTTTGTGTATGAATGTATTGCCTGCATGTAAGTATACCTGTGTCATGCAATGTCACAGAGGTCAGAAGAGGGTATCGGACCCCCTAGTACCTGAGTTATGGATGATTGTTAGCCACCATGTGGGTACTGGGAACTGAACCCCAGTCTTCTGCAAGGGCAGTCAGTGCTCTTAACTGCTGAGCCATCTCTCCAGCCCAGGGAGCTGTTTCTTTACTTCTCAATAGACTTTTCTTGCTTGCTTGCCCTTTTAAAAAAGGAGGAAGAGGGGCTGGAGAGATGGCTCAGTGGTTAAGAACACTAGTTGCTCTTACAGAAGACCCAGGTTTGAATCCCAGCACCCACCCACATGGCAGCTAACAACTGTCCGTAATTCCAGTCCCAGGGGATCCAACAGCCTCTTCTGACCAATGGGAGCATTGCACGACAGGGGCACACTTATCTACATGCAGGCAATACACGCATACGCATAAAATAAAAATAATAAATAAATTTTTTTTAAAAAAGGAGGAAGGAAGGGAGGGATGGGATGGAGAAAGGGGGAGGAGGAAAGGAGGGAGGAATGGAGGGCAGGAAGGAGGGCAAGAGTACAAAGCCCATTTGGGGGGCCAGGAAACCAGGAGTGGCTCCTCTGGCAGGACCGCCAGGACCTTGGGTCTAAATAGGACCTGGACAGTAAGGAGGTGATTTACAGGTTTAGCCTTCCCCTGGAGTCCATTAGTCACAGGGTATGGGAAGGCAGGAAGGCAGCTCTGATCACAGCAGCTTATCCCTTGGTCCAGAGAAGCTGAGCAGAACCAGTGAGCACCTTCCTGCCTGGATGGAAGCAGGAGTATGACCTCAGAGGAGGAACACTTGAGTAGACGACTCACCTATCATGCCCAAGAAGCAAGCCAGTTCAAGGACAGTGGGAGCTCCAGACCTTCCTAAGACCCAGAGATACTTGGGAACTAATTCCAGCCCTAAGAATTTCTGATAGGCCCCTAAGAAAGTTCCAGTTTCCTTATCTATAGACTCAGTCTGGGGAAATTGTGCTAAGGGTTCCTGCAAAGGACCACAAAGGGCAGCCCAAATTGGCAGATTCAATTACGTTTCTCTGCCCCATCCCTCTCCCTACCCTCACCTAAGAGATTAAAAGCATTAAAGTACCTCAAGAAGTGAATGTGCCTCACAATTACAAAGCACTATAGAATCCACTTCTTATCTGAGTGTCACCTATGAGATCACCTCATGCTCTGGGCTGGGAGGATGACCAGCTCAAAGGGGTTTTGAGATGATCTACCTAATATGATTGAGGAGGAGAAACAAAGCCAGAGGGTTTACATGCACAAAAAAGAAGAAAATGCCACAGAGTGTGTCCTTCTCACTTTTTAGGTAAGAAGAAAGGTGAACCAGGAAGACAGAAATGATTAAGGTTCACATCCCCCTAAGAGGCACAGTAGGAGCTCTGTCCACTTGAGTGACACAGCCAGGAACAGGACAGGGCAGTGACCAGAAGACACTTCACAGAAAGGCAAGGTATTACATTTCTGAAAGAACCAGGCCAGGTGAGCCTGTCCTGTGGGCAGGAGCTGCCTGGAACTCAGCAGTTATGAGGTAGTGTTAGAGCACACAGAAATGCCCAGGGATGCTCAATGGGGACAGGTGCAGCTGGCACACATGATGGAGGATGTGCAGGCTCCTACTTTTGCTGGACTAAGCAGCTGGGCATAGGCAGGGATAGGGAGGCACAGGGCTGGGTCAGCCTGAGATACAAAATAGAAGGGAGGAGGAAGAGGGGGAGGAGGAAGGGGAGGAGGAGGAACTTGGTAAAAGGAGCTAAATAAATGAGCAAAGGGCCCATATCTGAAAACTGACAGGGAGAGTCAGTCAATGAGGGAAGGAGGGAAAGAGGGAGGAAGAAGGGACAGAGACAGGGAGGGAGGGAGGAAAGAGACCAAAATGATGCATCATAAAATGCTAGCAGGGATTTTCCACTAGGATGTGGAAGTTATTGGTGATTTTTCTTTGGTGTCATCTCCACGTTTTTCTTTCCAAATTATCAAGGATAATCATGGATGATTTCAGTAACTACAGGGAGGAAATGCAAAAGACTGTCTCCCTCTGTCCTGAAAATAACAACACAGATGCAAAGGAAGAGCGGCTGTAGAGAGTTAGGATGCCACGAGAGGGTGGATGATCAGAGGGGAGGGGGCAAGAGGGGAGGTTGTGAGGTCAGAGAAAATGATGGCCAGGCTTCTCAGCATCTTGAGCATCTGCCTCATTTGTGGGGTATGTGTCTGCTCAAAGGGATTCCCTACCATGTTGGATGCTCTTGGATTGAGAAATCCTGCAGAGCAGCTTCAGGGGGTTGGGCATTGCATTTGCCACCTTCCCTGGCCTCCCTCCCACCTCCACCTCCAGACTCACTTAGGGACATGTAAGTGGAGAGACCTGGGATCCTCAGTTCCAGATGGGCAGCTTCAGAGAAGGTGGTAGTGGGCTTAGTTTGTGGATGAGGGTCTTAAGGGAGGTAATAGAAAACAGAGGAGCAGGGAGGGCCCTTGTAGTCACACAGCTGGCAGCCAGGCCAGTGGTAGTAGTAAGTGACTTGTTAGTACAGGAAAGAGCTAAGGCATCTTTATTATTTCTTCCCATGGTGCATAGTGATTCTGCAGACCTTCATTCTCCACTACAACAGAGGTAGAACAAAGACAAGACCTTCAGAAATAGAAAGCAGCAAGGCAGTACTGGAGGGGCTTGGGGGAGACTAGACATGGCACCCAGAAGCAGGGCTCAGGAAGCGGTAGCAACAACAAGGATGTTCTTGTAGCTCTTGATCTCCTTAACTTCATTGCTGCTGATGAGGACTTGTAGCTGGTGGGGCCCAGCTTTGATGGGGGAGAGCTCCAGTTGAATTCGGATTGTTTGTCCAGCCATCAGAGTCCCAAGGCTGAAAGTCAAAAGCAGCCTGTTGTGGCCTGGGGGAGTGACTGCTTGGGTGGGCAATGGGGTAGGAAAACTCATTTAATGGGTAAGCACCTCCCACTCCCCCAGTACCACCAAACCCCAGCTTTCCTGAGGTTGGGAAAGTAGGGGCCAGAAAGTGGTATCTGGAGATTGAGGAGGGTCCTATGGTCCCATGAGGCACGGCATCTCAGAGACCAGCACAAGAGGCAGATTGTCAAAAGGGCAGAGAGTGGCATTACTTACTCTTTGGTTATCTGTCCATTGATGAGGCCACTTCCCTCCAGCACCATGGTACAGTTACTCAGGGCCACTGTTAGTGTGTTGGTGAAGGTGATGTGGACACTCAGGACCTTGCCCATCTCAGCCCTTTCAAACACCTGTATAAAGATTAGACAGAGGTGCCCTGGGACCCTGATTTCACTTCTGCACCCCATTCAGGAAATTTACATTCTTATGATCATCAGGGACTACTTTAGGTACTGCCATTGGGAGAGGAAGATGTAAAATGAGAATAGCTAAGACTAACACATATGTTCACCTGTTCTAGAAGGTTAGAACACTTCAGGAAGATACCATCAATTAGGAATGGATAGAGAAGTGAAACCTGTTCCCCACCCCACTCTCTAGTTCAAGTTGTCTACTAGATGTCAAAGTACCAGCTCTGAAGCATTACTGGTACCTAGCATGTATTAGGTAGGATTGTCAAGGACAAATCCAGCCAGACATGATTGATTAGTAGTGTCTGACCCAGGCATGGGACCAGGAATTAGTGTCATATATGCCACCCATGTGCCATCAGTTATATCATTTCACCCTTTCACTCCATCAATAAAGAAATGATAAGGCCAAGATCCCATGATGTGTTGCTGGCAGAATTCAGACCTAGCCTAGGGGGTCTTAGACCTTAGCCCAGGATCTCTCCCCCGTCCTGTTCTGTTTTCTCAGACATCAGCAGGATGCACTGTTTTTTTTCCAGGTGTGTTCAGTATTTCACTTCTGAGGTCTGTGTCATGGGGCAGCTCAGCCTTGGCCAGTGATGGGAGGCAGGGATTCCATCCCCACTTCTGGAGCCTAGGATAGTGTCGGCCAAATGATGTATATCAGTAAATGAGTACTAAACTCAAATGAGTTCTGATCACTCAGATCACATGGAGAGCTTTTCTAGCTTGGCTAGAGAATCAAAGAGGAGAAAGAGCATACCCTAACTTCCCTGGAATTCAACAAAAGAACCAAGTCTCTAATGATGGTGTCAAAGCCAAATAGGTGAAACTAAATTTGGAATCGAGCACAATGATTCAAATTATCCCTATGTCCCGCAGCCATTGAGACCAATCTACAGCTTACTTGGCATGAGCTGTGCTGTACTTGGCTCCTACTACAACCAGGGCTCTGCTCTGGGTAACAAGCAGGGCCATTGCCTCCGTACCAAGCTTGTGTCTGCACTTGCAACTCTGCCCACTGTTTGCTCCACACAGAGGCCACCCAGCATTACCTGGCCTGACAACCCCACAGCAGACCCAGGTGAAAACTACAAGTGGGCTACTTATGATCCAATTTTGATCTACCCGGTTTTCCTACTGGCTAAAGTCTGGGCATGCTGCTAACCAAGTCACTAGGTACAGGACCAGGCTTGAAGTACACAGTTGGCAAGTCTTTGGGAGAGAAAGGGAGGGTGGGGAAAGGATGCTTTGGGGAAAGAAAACCGGTGACAGGAGAAGGGGAACACAGTCGCTCTCTTCTGTGAACCTTTCCCTCATCTTAATTCTTTCTCATGTTAGAGCCACACCAACCACTCTGGCATTGGAACTTGAAACCAGGTTTGCTTCATGGTTTTCCTTTTGCTTGTCACCCTCCACCTTACTCAGCAGTCACCCTTTGAACTTGACCTCCTTGTCTGTCTTAAACCTGTCTCCTCCTCCCTATGTCCCAGAAATTACCCTTTTTTCCTCTTTACCTTTGCAAAGTGATTTTTCCTTATTTAACATGTCTCCATGCTAACATGCCATCAGCCATTTTCTACACAGTGTCTTCCTCTGCATCCCCTGCATATTGTGGCCCTGAGGTGCTCTCATACCCCACCTTTCATTTTGTGAGGAACACTAGAGGCCCCTCTAGAGACTGCTGCTGCTCAGCCTTTTGGCTAAGATCAAGAATAAAACCCCAGAGACCACACTACACTGTGCTAAGCTCATCCATTTGCTGTCTAAGGCAGGGCAAGATGTTGCTCACTGCTGTACCCCCAGCCATGTGTAGCATCAGAGAATCTCTGGGCCCTCATCTCTGTCCAGAGACCTCACCTCAATAGATAAGCAGGGAGGCTCCAGAGAGAAATCTTTTAGGACCAGAATGGACCTCCCTGTCTCTTCAACTTCAGCAATGCCAGACACACGGATCAGCTTTTCATCTGTCAAATTGTTTCTGTAATTGCTGTAGGGCAGGAGGAGTGGACGCTGTATCTCTAAGCACAGGCAAAAAATAAAAAATAAAGAATAAAAAATAAAAAATAAATCACCTTGAGTCCAGGGGATGTGTCAGAGAGGAAGATTGCCCCCAGAGATCACTGTTGTCTGACCTGATAGGAGGGGCCCACAGGAATAGCACTGGCATTCAATAGCCCAGTAGCAGCCTCACTGCCTGGGATACGTGTGTTTTAGGGGAAGGATTCTCAGTGATTTGGCTGGACCAGTCCAGTCTTATTCACAAACCCAAAGTTCCCCTCCTATAGGTACCTGCTCAGGTCTGCCTCATACTCACCCTTCCCCAAATCCAGGTTCAAGTGTACCAAATGTCTCCAAAGGGGCTTCCGGGTGCTGCCTCCATGCAGCAGGGCCTGTGCACAGAAGCGCACTGTCATTCTGATGGAGCCCTGACCATGTGCTCTGTTTGGCACCCTCTGAACATGTAGCATGAGCAGTAGGTCCTGGCCCCACATGGGTGTCCTGGCCAGGTGAAGCTGAAGCTGCACTGGCTGATCCTTAAAGCTCTCAGATCCTAGGAGATCCAGGAGGGGTGAAGAGGCCCTTCTTGTTTCTAGCATTTTCTTGGAAGCCTTCATGAATATAGACCGCTCCTCAGGGGACCCTGGAAGAATAAATCCATGTAGAACAAAGACATCAGTGGGGAAGGGGTGTGGAAGGCCAATAACCTTCTTGGGAAAACAAATAACTAAACATCCAGAAGCTTAGAGCAATGATATATAGTGAACAGCAGGGCAGGTAGGCATGCACTATCATGGCTGGAGATGGGACTGGTGCTGCCTTGGGATTGGCTTCAACCCCTTGCTTGCTACATCACAGTCTCTTCATCTCTCAGTGCCCAATTCTGTCATAGGACACCCAGGGGTGACAGTGGCTTGCCTCAGAGTTACTGAAAACTTGAGTCATATGAATTGCTCAGTTAAGCACTCAGCACGGCTCTCTGCCACCAATTTGCTACCATCTCAAAACCAGAGGCTTCTGGTCCCTGCCTGCATCCTCTCTCCTAAAAATACATATTCAAACCTTTTAAATAGAACTTCCTGTCATTCCCTTGGGGATAGCTCAGCATCCAGGCTTAACTCTAACTTACTCCAAACTGCAGACTCCTCTAGAGCAGTTACCATGCTCCCAGTGTGCTCTACATACTTGCTCACTTAACCCTCTGAGATAGTGTTATCCCATTTTACTGATAAGGAAGTGGAGGCATGGGAAGACAGTCCAGGCTTACCCACCTATAGCATGGCAAAGCCTTGCTTAGTTCTCAGGTGGCCAGAGTCCACCGAAGCTCTCCATGGGGATGTCAGCTCCCTTCTACAGGCCCAGAGCCCTCTCCCTTCTGAGTGTCCATCTCTCCCCTTACTGCCACCCCTACTGTGGTGGACATAAAGAAACAGTAGTGTGACCCTGGGAGAGTTACTAGATAAAATACAGGACCTCCAATTAAATTTTAACAAGATAAGCCACAGTAACTTTTATTGCATGCAATATTTGGAACACTACTATACTAAAATCTATACCCAGTTAATTTGCATTTCAGACAAATAATGAATTCTTTTTAACATGAAGATGTCACACACAGGGCTGGTGAGATGGCTCAGTGGATAAGGCACCTACAGCCAAGCCTGAGGACTTGAGTTTGAGCCTCAGGACCCACATAATGGAAGGAAAAAACTAACTCCTGTGAGTTAGCCTTGGATCGCCACACATACACTGTGGCATGTGCACACATACACACACATACACACAAAATGAATAAATATAACAGAAAAAAATTAAAGATATCACATATACCATTTGGGATATATGTTTGCTTTTCTGAATCTATCTGGAATTCAAATTTAACCAGGTACCTTATATCTTTATTTGCTAAGACTGAGCAAATCTATCCTAAAGCCAAATGCCCAGGATCCAGGAAAGTCCCCTGGCAGTTTGTCCTAAAGAGAAGGTAGAGATGGTTTCACCTGTGGCCTGCCAGTGGTTACCCCTACTCCCCTCCCCAAAACCCGAGGCCCAGGCACCTTCTAGGTACTTGTAGGAGTTGGTGATGTCCAGGCGCTCATCTGACCCTACCATCTTGGTGCTGATCTCCTTCCCGATTGAATTGGTGTTATGGGCTAAGATTTCCTGGGCTTGACCATTCTCAAAGAGCCAAATGACTTCATCAGCATTCACCTCAGCATACACAAAATGGGTATCATAGGGCAGATGGACATCCCCTTCCCTGATGGCCTTCACTGAGGCAGGGCCACAGCAGAACAGCCCTGTGGAGGTAACAGGAATTGTGGGACATGGCTGCTCACATATGAGGTAAGGCAACTGGCTGTGATTATGGGAGGTGGTGAGAAAGATAGGCAGTAGCAATAATGCCCCTCACCCCAGGGCTTGTTTCCTCCAGTTTACCAAGCACATTTCTGTGTACTAATTTATCTGATCCTCAGTCACCCTGTGAAGTGTCTGTTGTCATTACCATCTTCCCCACATTACAGGTCAAGAAAGAACAGGGCAGTCTACTGGAGCATCCAGGTGAGCCCACTGTCAATGACAAAGTTATACCCAGATCTGACACTATCTCAGCTACAGCACTGGAAAAGGGGTAAAATGAGAGAATGCTCTCCTCTGGCTTCTGCTATGTGGCACTTGGCCTCCCATGGAGCCTGGCCCCTGCCACCATGGTCCTCTCTCACCACTGCTGTTTTGCTGAGGAGTGGGGTCAAGAACTTGCCACCCATTGTATCCTGGTGGAAGGTCTTTCCGGATCATCCAGCACTCATTCCAGACATGGAAGTTCCTGCAGAAGGGAAGAAGGAGCCAGGACTTGTATTTTCTGAGGATTTTCCAAGCATCAGATACTAGGCAGAGTGATTTATACCATTCGTTGTTTAGTCTTCTATTTTCCTTTACTTTTTTATAGAAAGTAATTATAAGCTTAAAGAGAGAAATCAGGGAAATAATCCCATTCACAATTGCCTCAAAAAAAAAAAAAAGCCCATAAAATAGCTTGGAATGAACCTAACCAAGGAAATGAAAAACCTCTACAATGAAAACTTTAACACTGAAGAAAGAAATGGAGATGGAAAGACCCGTCATGCTTGTGAATTGGGAAAATTGATACTGTGAAAATTGGCTATACTGCCAAAAGCAATCTATCATCAAAATTTGATGCAGCCACCATCAAAATTCCAATGCCATTCTTCACAGAAATAGAAAAGCACCTTAAAATTCATATGGAACAACAAAAGACCACAATCCTGAGCAAAAAGAATAATGCCAAAGACATCATCAATCCTGATTTCAAGTTATACTACAGAGCCATAGTAATAAAATCAGCATGGTTATTAGTGCAAAAGCAGATACATGGATCAGTGGAATACAACAGAAAACCCAAATATAAATGCAAAAGGCTATAGCCAAAGACAATTTTTGACAAAGATGCCCAAAAAATATACAACAAAGTTAAGACAGTTTCTTCAAGACTGGATAGATGACTCAGTGGTTAAGAGTACAAATTGCTCTTGCAGAGGACCCAAATTTGGTTTGGGTCCACAACTACCTATAACTCCAGCTCCTGGGGATCTGATGCCCTTTTCTGGCTTTCATGAGCACCACACTCATATGCACAAATCAATATACAGGTACACACACAAACACACATAATTAAAAATTAAATTTTTAAATGAAAAGATAGCTTCTTTAACAAATGGTGCTGAGAAGATAGCTTTAGTTGTTAACTTGACACACCTGGGTAGAGGGAGCCTCAACTGGGGAATTGCCTCCTTTGGACTGACCTGTAGCCATGTCTGTGGGGTATTTTCTTGATTGTTGAGTGATGTTGAAGGGCCCAGCCCACTCTGGGTGGTACCACCCGTGGGCAGGTTGTTCTGTATTGTATAAGAAAGCAGACTGAGCATGGGCCAGGAAACCAAGCCAGTAAGCAGCGTTCCTTCATGGTCTGTGCTTCAGCTCCTGCCTCCAGGTTTCTGCCCTGAGTTTCTACTTTGGGCTCCCTCAGTGATGAACTATGACCCGGGAGATATGAGCTAAATAAACCCTTTCCTCCCTAAGTTGGTATTGGTTGAAGTGTTTTGTCACGGCAATTGAGGGCAAACTAGAACACTAGATAGTCACATGTAGAAAAATGAAAATAGATCCTTATTTCTCACACTGCAAAAAAAAAAAATCAACTCCAAGTTAGGAACAATAATCCCAGCACTGGGAGTTGGGGAGGCAGAGGCACTCAGATCTCTGTGAGATTGAGGCCAGTCTGGTCTTCATAGAGAATTCCACAGCAGCTGGGGCTACAGGGAGACTGACTCAGAAAGAAAAAAAAAATTAACTCCAAGTAGATCAAAGACCTTAATGGAAATCCTGAAACTATTAGAGGAAAAACACTTTGAGATATAAGAAAAGATTTTGTGAATAGGATTCCAGTCACTCAGGAAATGAAACAAACTGACAAATGGGGCCTTATAAAATTTAAAAGCTTCTGCACAGCAAAGGAAATGGTTAATTGAATGAAGAAACAGCTTACAGAATGGGAGAAAATCTTTGCTAGCTTGACACCTTATAGAGAATTAGCATCTAAAATATATCAAGAAACACCTCCCAAAAACTAAACAAGAAATCAAACAACCCAATGAATAGACGGGCTAATGAAATGAACAGATATTTCTCAAAAGATGAAATATAAATGGCTAATAAACATACAGAAAAATGTTCAGCCTCACTAGCCACAGAGAAATGCAAACGAGATGCTCTCTTCTCTCTCACCCCAGTCAGAATGGCAATCATTAAGAAAACAAAATCAAATGCTGGTGAGGGTATGGACAATAGGGAACTGATGGGGGTGTAGACTAGTCCAGCCACTGTAGCGGTTTCTCAAAAAACTAACAATAGAGCTACCAGATGACCCCACTGTACCACTCCTGGGTATTCGCCAAAGGACTCCAAGTCAGCATATCACAGATACTTCACATCAGTGTTTTCAGCAGCACTATTCACAATAGCTAAGCTATAGGATAGACCTAGATGCCTACAAGCATAGGAAGGGATAAAGAAAATATGGTCTATATGCACAATGGAGTTCTTTTCAGTCATAAAGAACAAAGTTATGTTGTTTACAGGAAAACAGACATGACTGGAGATCAATATATTGAGTTAAGCCAGTCTCAGAAAAACAAATATGTGTTCTCTCATTTGAAGTTCCTAGATTTTAATTTTTGCTTACATTTATTTCTTTTGCGAGTGGACGTGGACATGCCATGACCCACATATGGAGGTCAGAGGACAACTTCAGGAGTTAGTTCTCTCCCTCCACTTTGTGGGTTCTGGGTTCTAACTCAGGTCATCAGGCTTGGTGGCAACTGCCTTTAACCCACTTAGCCATCTTTCCAGCCCTTAGATTTTTTTTTTATAGATGCACTATGACACAAAGAAGTGGGATAGTCTAGGGAACAAAGGGAACCAAGGAGAAAGGGGGAAAGAGGGAGGCCAAAGGTTTAGGCTAAATGTGCCCAACACACAGCATATAGTGCTGTGAAAATGTCCGTATGTAGCACTGTACTGTGTACAATGAAGACACACAATAAAAATGCAAAAAAAAATTCATGAATACCTAACTGTGATGTGCAGTATCACATTCATAGAAATTCTGTGTAAATGAATGAAAAACCAGAAGGCAACAAAAGATAAAAGGAAAAAAATTTAAAATAATTATCAACTTAAAGTTGTAAGAACAGTACTAAGAATTCACCCATTATTAGCATTTGTCTCCATGTCTTCTTTAATATGGCATGGAATGCACAGATTTCCTACAAATAGGACCATGTCTCATATAACCCTGTATAATTAACCAGCGTTAGCACTTAATACAAACTTTTACGATCTAATTTACCATGTGTCAGTTTATCAATTGTCCTATGGATGTCCTTGATGTTCTTTTTCTCTGTACAGAATTCAGTCTAGGATCACAAATGTGATTTAGTTGTGGAGTATCTTTAGTTTCCTTTGACCTTCGATCTGCTCCTCAGCCTTTATTATGCTGATGTTTTGAGAACTATGTTCCTTTCTTTTTTTCCAGAGTGGGCCTTGTTTGTGGCTTGTTATGATTAGATTCAGTTATGCAAACATTTATGTAGACAGACTTCTAAGAATGAGATATGGCCTTCTCAGATAGCCCACTGATTCCTTCCTTCCTTCCTTCCTTCCTTCCTTCCTTCCTTCCTTCCTTCCTTCCTTCCTTCCTTTCCTTCCTTTCCTTCCTTCCATTTTATGTGTATGTTTTGCCTGCATATATGTAAGTGCACCCATGCCGTGCAGTGCCCTCAGAGATCAGAAGATGGTGCTGGATCCCCTGCAACTGGAGTTGGGGATGGTTGTTAGCCTCCATGTGATGCTGGGAACTGAACCTGAGTCCTCTGCAAGAGCAGTCAGTGCTCTTAACTGTTGAGACATCTCTCCAGCCCCTCCTCACACCCCACTAATTCTTGAACTAGAGATGACTCAGGTCCCTTGGAGCTTATCTGTGGATGCCAGGGTGCATATCCCCCCCCGCCCCACCCCTACTCCTGCTCACCTGCATTCTCTCCTTTAGCCCTAACAACCCTGTGAAGTAGACATTATCTGCATTTGACAGAGAAGGAAATTGGAGCTGTAAGGTCCACAGCTGTTTCCCACAAGACTCAAAAACTTCACCTAGAAATCGACTGGAAAAGGAAAAACAGAAAACCAGACTAGAAGTTAACATAAAAGAAAAGAACCAGGCAAAGAGAGTCAAGGTGTAAAAATAAATCCCCACTCCCCAGAGAGGGAGTAAGGCATGAAGAGGCAGAAGCAGAGGAAGTAGCAGAGTAATTCAGGACTAGTAAAAGTCGTGGCTTTGTCTCCTCAGTGGAAACAGAATGGTCACGCAAACACACAAATACTCAGAGAGGGAAAGAATGATGACCTACAGGCCGGTGTGCAGGACTGCAGGACACAGCTATTCAGTTGGCTGAGGTGTACAGAATGTTATAACAGTGTCTTTGATGTCTGAAATAAGTTTAATTTGATGATCTAATTAGTCAGAACAGCCTCCTGGGATGGGGAATTTTTCTCTGAGGGTCAGCAGCTGGGAGATAGTCATGCCTCCCAGGTAGAGTAAATCAGGTCAATTTCATCCCCTTCCTTGGGGCAGAGCAGAGCTGTTAGACAGCACCTCTTACCAGATTTTGTCTGGTTTCTGAGTTGGCAGCATCTCTGCAGTTCGGTCATAGTAGGTATCAATGGTCAAATTCCCATCTGTGTTGTGTGCAGAACGGAAATTGGAAACAACTCGGGTTGGAACACCTAAACATCTCATTACTAAAGAGAAGAAAAAAAGGAATCACTGAGAAAATTTCAAGCAGAATTATTACTTTCCCATTTATAATTTCTAAACTTCAAGATAATGGCATGACTTCTTTATTCCCAAAGCATAGCACTCAATCCAGAACCTTCTCCCATCAACGATGTCCATTCACAAAGAGGAAGAAATCATTGTGGGGTGGAGAGATGGCTCAGCAGTCAAGAGCACTGACCGCTCTTTCAGAGGACCCAGGTTCGATTCCCAGCACCCACATGACAGCTAACAACTATCCATAACTCCAGTTCCAGGGCATCCAATGTCCTCTTCTGACCTCTGCAGATACTGCACGACATGGGTGTACTTACCATACAAGCAATAGACTCATATGCATAAAATAAAAATAAGCAATTATTAACTCAACTTACCATTTAGGAATCTTTCATTTATCAGCATTCCAAGTTAAAAATAAAAAGCCTAAGGGTTGGAGAGATGGCTGCATGTATTAAGAGCACTGGCTGCTCTTGCAGAGGACCAGGGTTCAGTTCCCAGCACCCACATGCTGGCTTGCAATCACCTGTAACTCTAGTTCCAGGGGATCCAATGCCCTCTTCTCGCCTCTACAAGCACTGCACACACATGGTACGCTTACATTACATACGTGCACGCAAACACTCATACACACAAAATAAATATATTTTTTAAAAAAATAAAGAGCTCAAGACATTTGAGCATTAGAAAGAAAATAAATAAATAAAACGTTGGAGCTATGCTGTGGCCAATTTCTAAAGAGAAGCTGTGGTACCTGAGGAAAGTGGCCTAACTTCTCTAGACTAATCCCCTTTTGAGTAAGAAAATGAAGCGTTGGACTCAGTGGCTTTCAGTTCTGAAATTCTGAGTCTGTAATCCTACTTAAAGACAAGAGTTGAGAGAGAAAAAAAGAGAACTAAGAACATAGCTCAGTGATAGAGTGCTTGCCCAGCCATTCCTAGGCTCTGGGTTTACTCCCTAACATTGCAAAATAAACGAATAGATAAATAAGAGAATGCCTATAGAGAAAAGAATATTCATTCCATTTTAGAGATACAGTGGAAGACATCAGAGATGAAACTATGTACCAAGCAAAAACCGTCTTTGATAAGCCAACAGCTCCCTCTTGTGTCCTCTTAAGATGGCGCTTAAAGCTAAGATTTCACAGATGTAGGCACTCAAAGCTGACACAAACCCAGACTTATACACTTACACACACACACACACACACACACACACACAGACCCCCAACATTCTAGAACCAGGTAAAATCACGCCAAAAGTCATATGTGCCTTGGGACGAAGGTCTTCAGCTCTGTCAGTGTGGTGAATTCAGAAAGAGGCCTATTCTACCCACTCTTCTAAGGAGGGGGAGACAGTATCCACTGGGGCTGCTGGGAAGGCCATAATGCTTTAAAAAGGTAAAAGGAGTACTAAGAATGAGAGTTATATTGTTTCAATTCACTGAAGAGCCCCCAAGAGGACCATCTCTCTATAACAGACGGCTCCTGGGCTTTCTACACACCTGCTGCAGTGTGGGAACCAGACCTGGGCTATAGCTGGCCAGCGGCAGCTTGGCAGGCGCAGCCCTTCCCACTCAGTGACCTGTGAGGACAAAAGGGTATGGGGGAGCAAGTCACAGACCTAGTCCTCCTGCATATCCCAGGGTCTGAGGGCTCAAGATAATCTCCATAATACATATCTGGACTGCCAGGGACTTGCCAAGGTAGAACAGGGACCAGAGGCCAGAGTAAGTAAGCTAATATGGTCACGTGATTTGAATACTCAGGTTTCAATTTTTTTTGTCTGAGGCCTTCGACTATGACTACAAAACTATGCTTTCCCTCTGAGAGAGTCAAGAACTCCAACCTGTCCTCATCCTTCTCCATTTGAATTAACCTATTATTTCAGCAAACACTGAGCACAACATTATGACTAGACAGCCCTGTGTGAAGTCTGCTTTACATGGGGGAGACAGGCAGCACCTCAGTATCTTCCAGCTCTTTAACTTTACAGATACTTGGACCAACAACTTGGCATCAAATTGTAAATAATTAAACATACACTCAATTGAATAAAGTGTCCATGCTCCTCAAGGGTAGTTAGCAAGATAGCAAAGCTCTTAATTATGACTTGAGTCTCTCAGAGAAGCCTATGGGGAGTCGGGATATCCCAGACTGTTTACACCTCCAGTTTCCCCACCTATTTGCCCATTGCAGGCTCTGAGCAGGAAGAAGTGTTCTGCCTTGGTTTGGGGACAAATTGCTCTACTCAAGTAGCTCCTTCCCCCTCCCTCCCTCCTTCCCTCCCCGGCTCCGTCCCTCCATCCCTCCTTCCTTCCTTCCTAGACATGATCTCATGTAATCCAAGCTAGCCTCAAACTCCTTAGAATGACCTTGAACTCCTGATCCAACTGCCTCCACCTCTCAAGTGCTGGAATTACAGGCATGTGCCACAACACCCAGCCTGAGTGGCCATTATAACAAGTCTTCAAGGAGACTTCAAAGTAATTACAACCCATCAATCCCTGGAGAATGAATAGTGTGCAGGCCAAGGGCTGGTGTGCACACTGCTCTCTAGCTGTAGGCCTAGGGCAAACTTCAGGCTCTTTGAGAGCCACAGTGAGTGGAGATGATCATGGCCTGATCTGATGGAGAAGTCAGGACGAGTCAGTGATGAGTCATTTTACTTACCGGTGCACATAACAGAGGCAAAGACCCAGCACTGTCCGTACTTCACAGGCTGCCCGCCCCTGGCTGACCACTGCCGCAGGATGGCCACACTGCCATTCCATTCCAGAGGGCTGACACCTTGAGAATAGTCCTCTCCCCAGTTCCCCTGCAGCACGCCACTGTCATCATTGCTGTTGATCTGCAAAGAGCAGACAGGTAGGTTTCTACAATACCCAGGAGGGCCAGGATGTTCTCAGGGCTGGGGCAGGTAGCTTCTGTCCTCACCATGGCACTCACCACCCTGCACACATACACCACGTTGCCCCTCTGAGAATAGTCATCAGACGGATTCTTTAGAAAGTACAGGCTCTTGTTCAGGATCTCAAAACAGATATCAATGATGTCCTCTTCAAACTTGTGAGACATTTCATAGGAGAAACCAGAGAAGAACCAAAATGTTGAGAATCCTGAAACTCAGTCATTAACAGGCTTTTAGGGGATGGTGTGTATAGGGGCAGGGCAGCAGGGCCCAAACACAAGACAAGGTCCTGCATTGGATGAGCTTGTAAATCAAGTTTGAAATGTATTAGATTCCGAACTCTGATAAACTAAACTTTGTGGCTCTGACAGAAAATGCTGAAGAATTCAAAGAATGAGAGAATCCTGTTGGGCTCAGAGATCAGCAAAGGCTTTCGGGCACCATCAC